ACAAACACAACTCCACCATGGTGCAAGCCTCCGAGGCTATCTCCAACAACAACACCCAAAATACAAGATCTATTTGTTCTTTGGTAGCGCTACAGATAAAAGGTTCAATACCTATTCGACATCTTCTCCAACAACAAGACCCAAAAGAAAATTATTTCTGCAAATGAGTTTCTAGGAGAGAGGATGTCCATATTTGGGTTGTGCCTCTCAGGCAACCCAAAATAGATCTCACGTATAGGTACTCTGTTAGAGGCTAATTTTAGATCTCTTGCTATTTATTTTGGGTTTGAGTGACCATATAGGTTCTTGGAGACAGTCTAACTAAGGTGAAATGAAATCAAACGTCTTCTTGCGTTGTAGATCATTTTGATTTGTGATAGGGGTGCATGTGTCTCTAAACGTGGATGGGAGTTTACAACATGTTCGTGCATCTGTGTTCTTTGTTTCTTCCTCGTTGTTTAGAGAGAGAAACCACCACAATGAGTTGGAAAAGGATGCCAGGCCGAAGGGAAGAAAATTGTATGAGCGACGAGCGCATGGTGCGGCTGCTGCTCCCCTCGGCCGGATGGACGCCACGTATACGCGCCTTGCATCGGACGGCAGCCGGAAACTAGGCGGCTTGCGTGCGTTCCTGTCGGCTCCGCATCGGCTGACGACGGCACCAAATCGGCTCGTTTCAGTCGTGTTGAGAATATTGAACGACGCGACCCGAAGTCACGTTGAATACGGACGCGCCGCCGCCATCGATCGATGCCTTGCCCTAGACGAGTTGCCGCCGCCGCCGCGCCGTCTCCGTGGATGAACCGAAGAGACTCCATGGATGACGTTGGGGGCCAAGGAGGATCGCATTGTTGACCCGATGGGATCTTCTTTCGTCATGGAGGATTCATGTGCATTAGAAATTGATCTCTGCTGCTGCTGCTGGTCGTCATGAAGACGCAATAAGGTAACTGAGCGGGGAGTTATCTGTTCGAGTTGATGGGGCTTTTCTTTTCTTTTTTTTCTTTTGATGAAACAAATGCATTTTCTTGTATATTTCACATAACACCACGGTTATGGCCGGTGTACAGACCATCGGCACCATTTCACAAACTTCTGCACCCGTGGAGAATGAAGCACTTGATGAGGTAAAAAATCATATAAGTAACAAATTTGTCAGAACATATGCTATTTTGTTTTTATTATAGTACACCTTCAATTACCAATTGATTTGCAGGAGGTGGTTAATAAAGCTAGGCAAAATTTGATTATTCCTGAAGTTGGAATGACTTTTCAATCCGAGGAAAAAGCTTATGAGATGTACAACACCTATGCTGGTAAGATTGGATTCAGTGTTAGAAAGAGCAGGACAAAGCACCGCAAAGATGGTAGTTTATCTCAGAAATATATGGTTTGCAGTAGCTAAGGACAACGAGAAAATGAGTCATCACAAAAGGACATTACAAGGACGGGTTGTGATGCTCGTGTTCAGTTTAGTATCAGCAAGGAGGGGATTTGGACAATGCAAAAGGTCATACAAGAGCACAATCATTTTCTTGCTAGTCCAAATAAGTCACACAAGCTGAGGTCCCAACGACAAGTTATTGAAGCAGACAAAAAACTAATTGGGCAGTTACGGGAAGCTGGAATGAAGCCTTCCCAAGTTTATAAGTTCATGAAAGAGTTTTACGGTGGGGAAGAGAACTTACCTTTTGCTAAGATGGATTGCTATAATGAGATTGGTCGCGAGCGACGACAGTATTTAGAAGCCAATGATGCATAAACTTTATCTGAATACCTGAGAAATAAGCAGTTACAAGATCCTACATTTTTTTATGCTATTCAGGTAGACAAGAATGATGGTCGTATAGCAAATTTTTTTTGGGCAGATGGTCAATCCATCATGGATTACAAATGCTTTGGTGATGCTGTGTCATTTGACACCACATTTCAAACTAATAAGTTCGAAATGCCTTTTGCTCCGATTCTTGGCACCAACCATCACAAGCAGACAATAATTTTTGGATGTGCACTTATATTTAATGAATCTATAGAATCATTTGTTTGGCTTTTTGAAACCTTCCTAACAGCTATGTCAGGAAAGCACACAAGCACAATTTTCACTGATCAAGATGCGGCTATGGCAGGAGCAATTGCTTATGTATTCCCAAATACAAGCCAACGTCTTTGTTTGTGGCATATTTGCTTAAATGCTGCTAAACATCTTAGTCACGTAATTCATGAGTCGAATAAGAATGAGTTGAATAAGAATGAGTCAGATAACAAGTTTCTATTTGATTTCAAAAAATGTGTGTACGAAGACAGATCTGAGACATACTTCATAGAGAAATGGCATGAATTGTTGGCCAAATACAACCTGGAGGAAAACTCATGGATGGCAAATCTATATGCTTTGAGGGCAAAGTGGGATGCAGTATATCGCGACTCTTTTACAGTAGACATGAACTCGACCCAAAGGAGCGAAGGTATGAACAATGTCTTCAAGAAAAGATTTCGTAGAAAACTTGGTCTTTCGGAACTCCTTGTAGAATGTGACAAGGTTGCAGCTAGTCTTCGTGCAAATGAGTTGGATGCCGATTTTCAGTCCCGCCGAAAGAATCCAGTTACATACATTCCAAACCTACCTATGTTGAATACTGCAGCTGAATCATATACAAGGAGAATGTATTGAGAGTTTGAGGAAGAATTTAAAAGGCAATTTACATTGACTTGTGAATTGTTGAAAACTGTGGGGACACACTTGACATTCTTTGTTAAGTATATGCAGTCTGACCATGGAGCAACAGTAGTATTGAACACTGAAGATTCCACCATTACATGCTCTTGCCGGATGTTTGAATCCATAGGTATATATACTACTACATTTCAATTTATACATTGTAAGGTGTAATATAGGTTTATTAATTAAATAGAAAACTATATCTTACAGGTTTATTATGTAAGCATGCTCTCAGAGTCTTCAATTTGAATGGAGTATACAATTTGCCATCGCAATATATACTGCCTAGATGGACAAAATATGTGAAAAATGGATTTTATATTGAAAAGCAAGGAACTGAGAAGGGAGATTTGAAATCACAGGCAGCACTTATATCTCGCTAGGCCACATCTCTTGCATTGAAGTGTTGGCCATCACAAAAACTTCTTGATAAATTGCAGAAAGCTCTACATGACTTCAACAAGGAAGCGGATACTTATCTAAGTGAGACGCATGAAAAATCCGACGAGGTTCCTCCAGTTCCAAATGAATGTGTTCAAGATGCAGTAAATGGTAGAATATCATTTAAAATTCCTCAAGTAATAAAAGGTCCAAAGAATACATGTTTTAAAAATGTTGTTGAAAAGAAGTCAGGGAAGAAGAAGAAAGGTTCTCAGAAGAAAGGTACTGACCTGCCCAAAGAATACAATTTATGTCTACAAGTTTTTTAGAATATTAAACTATGTTTTATTGTAGGTGACGATCTGGAAAATAATGTTGTAGAAACAATAGATGAAAGTTCTGTTCCAAACCAAATAACAGTAAGATATTAACTATTTTCATAATTTATTCCCTTATAATTACAAGCATGATTTCCTGAACACTTTCTTATGCAATATATGACAGAATTTTAATGATGGGCCATCTTCATCCATGGATGCTCCTTTCCTGCAAAGTGGATATGCTAATTCTACAATGGCACACTTCAATTTAATTCCAGAACCTTCTGCAATGGCTGCTCCATACATTCCACGAGGATACACAAGTCTCTTAATGGGAGTTTATCAAGATGCTATAGTGCAAACCACTGTTAGGAAGTTACATTTTGATGGAGTGCAAAATCATGAATCTATGTAACTGTGCTCATTCGTTGTCAAGTGACCTTATGAAATGGAACATGTACATGTACAGTCTGTTGGCTTTGCTCTGAATAGGAACCTTACAGGCAGCGCTTATTCAGAATAATGCATTCCACAGAAACAATTATTAGATTATTCAGACATGCATTCCACTGCTGATTTCAGAACATCCAAATATATTTCAGACAAAAATCGCATTTTACAACTTGTCTAATTTCGACAACAAACATCAAAACACAGAAACTTGGACCATGTTTCTGTTATATGAAATTAAGTTCTGAACTTGCAACCTTGACATAGAAAACAGCGAGCACCTGTATGCTTTGGAAAATGAATATATACTACCAGCCAGTGCTACTCGTACAACTGATTTTGCAATTAAAAAAAGCACATGCCCAAGTGCATGATACAGCTAGTGTAAGGTAGCATGTTCCTTGGCAGATAACACTTGACCCATTCTCATCCTTCATCTGAAGATCGACATGATGCTTGACGAGCAAATAGCATTACAGTTGAGTCTGCTTGCCCTTCATTGTCCTGAACATGATAGACAGTTAAGTTCAGTTGGTTCAGTTCATTCAGCAATGAGCAATCAAGTGTCAGTACAGGAATCACCTTGGTGGAGCCAGTCGTGGTGGACGGCGAGGACGCCCAGGCATAGGCTCAGGTCGCTGGGACCGGGCCGCCGCCACAGAGCTCTGGATCTCGTCCCAATCTGCCGCCGCCGCCTCTGAAGCTCCTCCCAATCCGTCTCCGCCACTCCCATCTCCCTATCCTCTCCCTTTCTATCTGCGCGGGCGAGCACTGCTCTAGGTGCCGCAGCATACGTGCCTCGCCGTGCCATCCTCGCGACCTCCTCGCCGTGGTCTTCCCCGGACACCGCAGGTACTCCGGCGACGGCGGAGTCAGACGAGAGGAAAGGGTCACGATAAGGATCGATTTTGGGCTGAGCCGTTGGGCGATGCGGAGCCGATGGGAAGGGCACGCAAGCCGCGATGCGGAGCCGACGGGAACGCACGCAAGCCGCCTAGTTTCCGGCTGCCGTCCGATACAAGGCGCGTATACGTGGCGTCCATCCGGCCGAGGGGAGCAGCAGCCGCACCGTGCGCCCGTCGCTCATACAATTTTCTTCCAGGCCGAAGTGGGTACGGACAGCGGTGAACATGGACGACCACATCATCGTCCCCGAGCTGGACCCCGCCGCCATGTCGGCCGACCCGGACAAGGCCCTGGAGGACTACGTGTCATCCCTGTCGACGCGGCCCATGGACCACTCCCGCCCGCTGTGGGAGGTCCACGTCCTGGACTTCCCCACCGCCGAGGCCGCCGCCGCGGCCGCGGTCGCGCTCTGCGTGCACCACTCCGTCGGCGACGGCGTCTCGATGCTGTCCCTCTTCATGGCCTGCACCCGCAGCGCCGCCGACCCGGGCGCGCTCCCTTCCCTCCCGCCGGGGCGACGCTCGGGCCCCGTCTACGCGGTGCGGCGCCCGCCGCCGCTCTCCTCGGCCGCGGGCGCCCTCGACGCGCTGGCGGCGCTGGCCGTGTGGCTCCTGTCCTTCCTCGTGCTCGCTTGGCACACGGTGGTGGACGTTGTGTGCTTCTTCGCGACGGCGGTGTCGCTGCTGGGCGACGCGCCCACCGTGCTCAAGGGCAAGGAGGACACCGAGTTCGAGCCCAGGCGCTTCGTGAACCGCACGCTCAGCCTGGACGGCATCAAGTCCGTCAAGAATGCCATGAGCTGCGTACGTGCTCCTCTTCTTCGTTCCACTGGCCACTATACATCACTGTTTCTTTTCCTTTTTTTTCTCAACACATAAGTGCTTGTGGGTTCTGTATTCTGAACTTTTTCAGACTGTAAATGATGTTCTTCTTGGGATAACCTCTAGCGCTCTATCTCGGTACTATTTCCGGAGAACAGGTGAGCAAGTGCTGAAATGGAATATATTTGGTAGTGCATTGTTTGATGGATTCATCAGATTGCTGTGGACCATTTGCAACTGAATAACTGACGCCGAAACCAAAATCTTCAGGTGAAAGCGACAGTAAGAGCATGACGGTGCGGTCCGCTGTTCTCGTCAACTTACGGGCGACGCCCGGCATACCAGTGGGGAAGATCTCTTCTACTTGTTGTTCACAGCTAACACAGTTTCCATTTTTGTGCTTGTTGCATGCGTAGTACTGGTAGGCATTGGCAAGCATGATGGAGTCCAGCAAGGACAACGGCGCGAGATGGGGAAACAAGCTGGGCTACATGCTAATCCCCTTCCACCTGGCCAAGCACGATGACCCCCTCGAGTACGTCCGGAAGGCGACCAAGGTCGCGCGCAGGAAGAAGAGCTCCATGGAGTCGGTCTTCGGTTCTCAAACTTTTCGGCATCAAGGTGCGCTGGGTTTCCTATCCTATCTCCATCCGGCGCCGCCGCCGCTGCCGCTGCCGGTGCCGTGACAGGAGGAGAACTGAGCGTTCTTGCCGTGTCAGAGTTTGCGATCTTGATTCTTCACCGCATCCTGATTCCTGACAGAGTTTGCGAGAATCTGTTTGTGCAGGCAGCAGCAGCGCTCTGCTACGGCATGTTCGCGCACACCACCCTGTCCTTCTCCAACATGATCGGGCCGACGGAACAGGTGCTGTTCTGCGGCAACCCCATCCTCTACATTGCACCCGGCACCTACGGGCACCCACATGTTAAGTTCTTCCCAGGCAGCATATCCAGCGTTCATTCAGTTGTTGTCTTTTATATACGACAGTGCTGCTCTTTTTCTCCTCAAAATGCCATGCCGGTGCCATGTCTTTCCGTGCGCGATTGGATCTGAAGAACATGCAGTGACTGGTTATAATCGTGTCGTGTGATCTGGATGCATGTGTGTGCAGGCGCTGACTGTGCATTACCAGAGCTACATGAACTCCGTGAAGCTAGTCCTGTCGGTAGATGAAACACAGTTTCCGGATAGCCATCGGCTCCTGGACGACTTTGCCGAGTCCCTCAGGCTCATTCGCAAGGCAGCTTCATGCAGTGGCGGATCTGTGTGTGTGTGTGGGTGGGGGGGGCTCGCCCAAAGCCCGGTGCCCGGCGGCAGATCCGCCACTGGCTTCAGGAAAACCTGCAGGGGAGACGCAGGATGCTGCTTCCAGTTGAGCATACATAGATAGACAAGTGTGTGTGTGTGTGAGCAACAGCAGAATTTCCAAGCATCCCATAGGTGTGTAACAGAAATATCAGCACACTGGACAGAAGAAACATAGTTCACGCAACGAACAGAACCTATCTGTCATCAAATTGTGCAGATCTGCGTGAAGTTCTTTGCCTCTCCCTTTGTGTGTGTGTGCGTGCGCGCATTTGAGATCTTGTTGCTGGTCATCACAAACTTTTTGGGTGGTTTGATTTATAGTCTACGACAGAGGTTCAGGTTACTTAATCTTTCAACTTGGATAATGAAACATAAAGGCAATGATCTTTGGAAGCAAATGATTAATAAAGTTGGCATAAAAAATGCTCCTTTTCCGCTAAAGGTCGTGCTAGGCTTACGCATGTGGTCCACTTGTAGCTGCAGACATCACTTTTGATTTTAGAAAATGAACCGCAAAGCCTCCCACCGACGACAAAGAAAAGAAGCATACAAAATGGAGCAAAAACGCAGATACATCAGTACACGATACTCTGCCTAGTGCCTAACTGCCTACCGACACACATCGTGTTGGATTCATTCAACCAGAGCTTTACTAGACAAATTTGCATGTATCCCTTTTCCATTGTTCATTCAAATTCATATTCAGTAATCAGGGAGGGGCAGGGGCTTAATAAGATCGATCGATATTTTACAGTCCAGCCATCTGGATCTCTCAGTTGTGTGAAATGCCATCTCTGAACACCGGTGAAGGATGGATTCCTTGATTCCTTCCTTCACAGTTCACACACTGCGATGACGACTGGCTAAAGGATTGACATCTAAACAGGACACGACTGAATATTCAATATTTTATTAGGTAGTTGCAGCGAACCACCTGCCACTAGCGGTGTTTTATGCTTGAGATGAGAGGGTAGGAGAACATGCCTGCATGTGTAATGGGCAGGCGTGAATCTGACTGTTTTATTAAAGACCCCAACATGGCAACATGTTTTCAGTGGCGTATTATGCGGCCTTGCAACATTATTCCTCTGATGAAAACGTTCCGTACCATTTCCGCCCTAATACTAGCGTCGGGCGAGCAAATTTAATAATATTATTCTTTTAGTGGTAAACGAAGTGTCCATCAATAGCGGGGCCTAGGCCTAAAGGCCTGGCTGGCTAACGGCTGTCGTGGCAACGACTTGGGCAGCCACCTATTCGTTTGAACTTATCAGCCGGCTTATCAGTATTTTTCTCTCACAACGAAACAGCTTCAGCCGACTTTAATACCAGCCGAACAGGCTCGATGGTCATGAGTGGCAGCTAACCAGGTGTGCCTCTAACGAGGCCGCCACTCGTGGCAAGCTAGGCCAAGGTAGGCCCACTCTTGATGCCAACAAAGAAGACCCTCCACGACCAGTGGCCGGCATAATAGCAAGTTGAGCTTTGTGGGCAGCCAAGAGAGGATATTTGGGATTCAAAAAAGGTTTTCGTCTAGTATATAACTATCTGATATATCCATTCCCTCCATCACATTGTCGGAGGAGTGTCTGTGGTGATCGAAAAAGGTGTAGTGGCGGCTAGGGCTAGGTGGCGCCAAGGGGAAGAAAGAAAGGTTGGGGAGAGAGTGCTACTGTACTAGAGAAGGAAGAAAGGAAATGTATGAAATTACCTTAGAGAAGTAAAAAACGCAAAATTAGCTCTCCCCCTTCCCCCCTCCACGGTTTGGGTTTCCCTAGGGCTGTGTTTGACCATTTTGTGCAGCTAAGTGCCCTATTCGCTTGGCTGACAAGCCATGGCTGAAAGTATTGTTGGCTGATTTGTTGTGAGAGAAAAATATTATTCGTTAGTTGAAAAAGTACGGTTTATAAGCCAAACGAACAGGGCGAAGCTTAGCTAATGAAGTTGGAAGTAGAGCTGAAAAATTCAGAGCAAAAAAGTCTGAAACACGCTCTTAATTTTTACTAGATCCTAAAATCCCATCAAATAGGACCCAGATGTTTTCAGAGTACATCTCCACACCGAGGGATTGAATTTTCCAGTAAAATTCTATATGGCTATTTAAGATTTATCAAGAATTCATAGTGCAGCCTAAATCAGAATATGGTTGTGTTTGACCGTTTGTGCAGCTGAGCTTAGCTAACGAAGTTGGAAGTAGAGCTGAAAAATTCAGAGCAAAAAAGTCTGAAACACACTCTTAATTTTTACTAGATCCTAAAATCCCATCAAATAGGACCAAGATGTTTTGAGAGTACATCTCCACACCGAGGGATTGAAATTTTCAGTAAAATTCTATATGGCTATTTAAGATTTATCAAGAATTCATAGTGCAGCCTAAATCAGAATAAAAGATTGCACATAATAAAAAAGGATCACATGAGGACAAAAGCTAGCTCAAGCCAAGAAAGCTCCACGAGAGTAGTGTGTGCACGGTGCAGGTGCACACACATGGATCCCTTTTGCCTGTTCATTCTAGATCTAGCGATTAGCGACACTTGCCCGCAGGAGATTCTCGCAAGAACAGCTCACCGGCACTAGCAACATGCCAATATCATAAGCACAATCGCAAGCTGCATCCTACTCCTACCTCCTCCAGGTCGCAGCTGCCCACCCGGCTACCAAGCACCTACCCAACTCCCACGCAGCTCGGTTCAAGGTTCAGCAGCGGTGGTTGGCACGTCGCAGTTGATACGCAGGCGTAGCCGCGTACTGCTTCTCCCGCGTCGGCGCCGCCGGCCGTCTCCCTCCCGGGAAGATGGTAATGGGGCGCGCGTCCGCCGCCACGCTGCTCGTCGCGCTCGCCGTCCTCGCTCCGGCGGTGATGGCGCAGACCTGCGACGACGAGCTGCCGGCTCAGCTTGCCGGCAACTTCTCGGGGCTCGCCTGCGCCCCCGTCTGGAACAACTTCGTGCTCCGGGTATGTAGTACCTCCCGCCATTGCTACGATTCGCGAGATTCTTGCCGCCAGGCGCTAGATCCGTGGCGATCCGGTGCAGCCCTGTGCTCGCTCTCACTGAAACTCCTCTGCTATTCCCTGGCCTGGACTGCAGTACGCGCAGGACAAGGACAACGTGCTGCGGGTGGTGCTGTCGACCATGTACAGCACGGGGTGGGTGGGGATGGGGTTCTCCAAGAACGGCCTCATGGTGGGCTCGAGCGCCATGGTGGGGTGGATGGGCAAGACGGGGCTCCCGCACATCAAGCCCTTCTCGCTGGGGGGCAAGACCCCTTCCCAGGTGGTCGCGGACCAGGGCTTCCTCGTCTCCAGCGACCACCACAAGCCCACCGTGCTCGTGCACCAGGCCAAGATCTACCTCGCCTTCCAGCTCAGCTTCACCGAGCCGCTCAAGCGCCAGAACGTGCTCCTCGCCATCGGCTCCGCCATCCCCGTCAACGACCGCCTCTCCGAGCACCAGGACAAGACCTCCATCGTATTTGATTTCACCACAGGTCCGTTTGATTGCTTCATTCATTCAGTGCCTTTTACTATGAGAGAAAAATCGGTCCATGACAGAGTAAAATTTCAGTAAGTTTAGGTCTGAAATCGTTGGGGTTCTTTTTGGTAAAACCTGAAAGATAGATGCCTCTGCTTCGTGAACACATTGTCATTTGAACAATTGCAAAGTGCTTGTGCAATCCAGTGTGATCTGATCTACTATGCTTCTCAAATCCGAGAACCATAGCTCAGACAAATGACAAACAACTGACGAATGCACTTCTGCTCTGACGTCCCAATCACCAACTCATTCTTCTCACTGAAAGAAACAAACAAACTGTGGTTGTTTGCAGGCAGCTCTTCAAGCTCATCATCCTTCCCGGAAGGTCTGAAAAGGACCCATGGGGCGCTCAACTTGTTCGCGTGGGGTGTGCTCCTGCCAATTGGCGCCATTGTTGCAAGGTACTGCAGGAGATGGGACCCTCTGTGGTTCTACCTCCATGCCGGTATCCAGTTTGTGGGATTCATTCTGGGTCTGGCCGGCGTCGTGGCTGGAATATCATTGTACAACAAGATCCAAGCCGACGTCCCGGCGCATAGGGGCCTCGGCATATTTGTGCTTGTGCTAGGCATTTTGCAGGTATGTGCTCTCTGCTTCTGTAAAGGTGAAATCATGCCATGTACTTATAACAAGTCAGAACAGTTTGTTTTTTCAGAACACCCACGGTAGTTATGCATCCGTGACTGAGTGTTAAAGCTGTTCAAATAACGATTTGCACTAAAAGTAGTAGTACTGTAATATCAGCATTTTGAAAATAGACATGCTACACAGATCTGAATGTCTGTCTACTTCTTCAGATTCTGGCAATTTTCCTGAGGCCCAATAAGGACTCCAAGTACCGCAAGTTTTGGAACTGGTACCACCACTGGGTCGGCAGGCTCGCCCTCTTCTTTGCAGCCATCAACATTGTCCTCGGGATCAAGGTCGGCGGCGCAGGCAACTCGTGGAAGATCGGCTACGGTTTCAACCTGGCCGTCCTTCTGGTCACCATCATCACCCTGGAAGTCCTGCTCTGGACAAGGTGGAAAAACAACTTCGGCTCCACGGGGGCATATTAGCGACTTACCGATTTAGGTGTTTGTGATGGTCGCTGAAGGAGGTTCATATTCTTTCTTTCAATATTTTCAAGTGTAATGTTCGCGTGTGCTGCAGGATCTTTTATAGCGGCAAAGATCTGCATCTGCAAGACGAGTAGCCTATGTGCGTGATGCGTTTTGGTGTTTGTTAGAACTGGTCAGAAAGGCATGATAGGATGTGCGAACGTGTATGTGTCCCGGACTTCCGTTGCGGTGCCTTTTGGACTGCTCCGAATGGAGATGGAAATGGATTAATGGAATGATGATTTCCGCATCATTTCCGTTGGTGTGAATGGTGGTAGATCTGGTGTGACACTGTGCCTGCCTCACGAAGCTGCTCGTTTCTTTCTCTTTTGCGGCAAGTACTAGTAAAGGTAGGAGTAGGAGTACGTGCGCACAGACGCGCGGCTATTGCCGAGAAAAGAGTGGATTTCCAATTTTGGTCCTGCGAGAACTACGTCAGAGTCGGT